TTTTTTTTTATGTTTTCAAAAGAAATGAATACTTATGCAGCAAGGATACACAAAATGTATCAAAAGTGACATTAAAGACAATTCCAATAAATTCTGCTCTTTTGAACAAAATTGTAATAAACTTTTCAGTGTTGCTGTTTTACTGTATTTTTGATCAAATAAATGCAGTCTTCATTGGTAAGTAGAAGAAAAAAATCATTTTAAAAAGTATTAGCAACCCCAAACATTTAGTGTGCTTGTTTTCATAATGAGGACTGAGCCTGTCAAACTCCAAAAATGACAAGAAGCACCATTAATCCACCATAAAAGTAGTCCATTGGATATTTTAGTAGCCACATAAGTGTTTTATGTGAGGACCAGATGAAATTTGATAACAAACCTGTCAGGATGTTTTGATGTGCCATATTTGAATAGCTTCAATACTGTCTCCTGGGTTGCCTTCTTGAAATCAATGACATCCTGATGGCCTGTTGTCTCAAAGAGTTCCCACAGGCTTTGCAGTTCTGTAATGGATGAATAGCTTCTCTGTGTACACCTAGGGCATATGCACCTCAATGCCTGTGTCTCACATAATCAATGAACAAGCATACATCTCATTGCATTGGTATATTCTGCACAAACTGACATGGAGAGATCATACACATGCACACACAACCCACAATCGCACCTGCATACAGCAATGGCTTGCAAGCGATAAAGTCTCTCCATTTCCTGGCCTGTCCAGGCTAGTCTCCCGTTATCACAAGAGTTGGAAGATTCAGCTCCGCTGCAGGCCCATGCTGCACACTTCGCTTGTCCTAGATTAACACTTATCTCCCAGTGCCACCAGAGTGCCAGACCCAATAAATGAATTAGATGGGAAGGAAGCCATCTAGACACAAACCTGTGGCTCATGTCATACCAAATGTGTCCATACCATGGCAGTTTGTCCTCGAGCACAGCCAAGCTGGAAGTCACAGTTCAGACCTCTACCTTGCGCAATTAAAGAGACAGGAAAAGTTTAAAAATATGAGAAAGACAAAGGTGACACGTTGAGTCCAAATGACTTCTGAGACATTGTGACATGGGCACACAGGGTGAAAGCATTACATTTAATAATACCATAGATCAATGATTGATTAGGAGTATAGGGATGAAATTTTAATGATCCAGGACCTTTGAGCACTTCAAGTAGCCAGTCCACAGAAAGCTGACATATGCTGTATAATTCATCTGAGGGAGCGTGTCCCTCTCTCTCTCTCTCTCTCTCTCTCTCTGTCTCCAAGTGAGGGTTTGACTCTTTAAAGCGCTGGATAGGTGCTGGTTGTATCTGTTGGTAACGTAGGGTTCATGGCTCCTTTTCAACATATGCACTCATTATTCTTGAGCAACTTGAAACCAAATGCTCATGTTTAATTGACAAGAAGCCAAGAGAGTTCATATTAAAAAAAAAGAAGAAAAAAGGTAAAAGGCAAGCACGTTTCTGCCTCACAGCACAAAATAAAAAATATTTAAAATAAGAAATAGTTAAAAAGTTAATAAGAAAAAATGAATATAATTAAAGCTGGATATAATAAAGTCATAATTAGATTAAAGATACAATATATTTCTTATAAAAATACAGTGATGTTATGGCCTAGTGGTTAGCAGTTATGCTCTTACACACATGGCATTATGTTTATGTGGGTGAAGTGAGTTCATATCCAGTTTGACACTAGAGATGGGTCAGGATTGTGAATTAATGAGGTTGACTAATGAGATCAACTTGATTTTTTTTTCTTGATGCTTTAAAACAATTTAATGTAAAGACATGCTAATAGTTCAAATGTACCAGTACACTGTGTCTTGTATCTGCTTCACTGTGAACTTTGTTCACTTGACAGCCATCTTGCTTGTGTCCACAAGAAGCTATGGTAAGCTATTTTCTGGCATAGAAATAAAGCTCTTTTCTTCTTTAATGGGGAAAGACCAAAATTTCAACTGTACCAAAAATGTTTCATTTTAGATGAAATCACACTTAACCCCCCCCCCCCCCCCCCCCCCCCCCCCCCCCTCTACCCG